GTCTTGATGAGGGAATTTTTCTGCGATGGATGGTGGTGGGAATCCGGTTTCAGGTAAGCATCCGTATGGGTAGCTTTCCTGTAGACAGAGTGACTCATTGAACCATCAGGTCTCTTTTTTATTAGGACATCCAAAAAAGGTAGCTTGCCATCTTTTTCGACTTCCATGGTAAATCTGATGGATGGGTGTATGGAATTAATGTGGTCGAATAATTGGTCTAGAGCAGGCCGGCTATGTGGCCAGATGACAAAAGTGCCATCCACGTACCTCTTCCATAAGGTTGGGCGCAGAGTGACAGTCTGGATGGCGTCAGTATCAAATTTCTCCAAGAAAATGTTGGCTACAACCGGAGATAGGGGGGAGCCCATTGGGTGCCCTCAGTTTTTGTTTGTAGAAAGTTCCATTCCAAGTGAAGTATGTATTGGTTAAGCAGTGTTTAGTCTTTGATGAACCAAGTCTTCAATGATTGCGATGGTGTCAGGTACAGGAACTTTGGTGAATAAGGAAACTACATCAAAACTGACAAGCAGGTCGTCTGGGGACAGGGAAATACGCTTGATTGTCGATACCAGGTGAGTAGAATTGTGTACCGCAGAGGTGTTTTTTTCAGTGAAAGGCTGCAGGATTTCAGACAGAAAACGAGCCAGTTTGTAGGTGGGGGAGTTGATAGTAGAGACGATGGGACGAAGGAGTGTATCTACTTTATGTATTTTTGGTAAGCTGTATAATCTTGGTGGCCTGGCAGCAGAAGGTTTCAACAAAAACTGTTTGGTTTGATCAATTAATGCGGTTGAATCAGAAATGATCTTGTTGGTTTGTATGACTAGGCTGTTGGTGGGATCTCTTTTTATTTTTGTATAGCTGCCATCGTTCTTGGATTTTGTTGTTATATTCTATTTGATCCATGATGACAGTGGCATTGCCCTTGTCGGCTGAGAGGATGACAATCTCATCCCTCTTTTTTAATTTATATAATTCAAAACGCTCATCTTTGCTGAGGTCGCTAGTTGGCATCTTAGCGTTTTTGAGGGTTGCAGCGATTTCAGATCTTGCTACGTCTGCAGCGATGTGACCCAGGCCCTTGAGAGCCACGTCTACTTGGGCAATGATATCATTAACTGGTATGTGTTTAGGTGTGACTGCAAAGTTTAGCCCTTTAGCTAAAACGGATTTCAGACCATCAGAAATAGAACTGTTACTGCGATTAATTACGACTTTGTTAACGTCTAGCTTTTTGGTGTGTGGGTCCGGTCTTTTGTTGGAGAGGAGGTTAAATTTGGAAATCAGGTTGTCCTTACATTTGGTCGACATAGTGGCAGCTGAAGAGGCAGTCATATTGTCTATATGTTCCCAATCCGATGTGGACATAAACATAGATGGGCATGTCCATCTGAACAAACTGTCAAATCGCTCTCCGTGGTGCTAACGTTAAAAATAACCGCCACTTTTTCAAATGTTCTTGCTGTGGTTTTCACATCTGATTATGATTGCTTGTGTTACAGTCGAAACGTCGTGAGAATTTTATTGTTTTATATTTGTATTATTTTATTGTTTCCCTTCTACGTGACTTTACCAAAAGAACCAAGAATATGAATCCCTGCAGTCACGAAAGCTTTAAATCAAAGTTTTGTTATATTGTTCATGTTCTAGGGGTGATTTTATGCTTCCTTGCATTTTCAGTATTATTGGTAGCCGGGACGGCTATTTTTTCACAATGGGGGGGGGGTTATTTATTGACAGGGTGGCACCTGCCGGCCTGTGGGAGCAGAGTCAGTCTAAAAGCTCTGGGAACCTACCCGAAGGTTCTGTAAAAGGGGCGTGGCCAGAAGTTGGAGCTTGGCTGCACCAGGCAGATATAAGGAGCACCGAACCAGAGGTTCGGGGCTGTTAGTGTGGGGTCTGGGTCCTGGTTGCATGGCTGCCATCGTCATCTCTTCGTTTTCGACCACATGCTGTTCTTCTGAAAATCCAGCTCCGTCGCCACCGCTACGCTCGTCAACCAGCCAGTGTAGCATAGGACGGAGATGGGCTGCATGTTTAGACAGCCTAGGTGTAGCCGCGTTACGAAGTGTATCACCCTGTGTGCTCTTAATAAATAAGAAGCCTTCTACTCACTACACATTTATAGTCATCTATGTTACGAATCTACACACATAAATGAATATTGATATTTCTCTTTGATCACCTAATCTTGTCCGCGAATTCATTGATATCCCATTAGCCAATTGATAAGTATCTGTTGGCCACACCTACACTCGTAAGTATACTATTGTTTCGGGACATTCTTTAATTACATAATCTGACCAATTAATTCATTGATGTCTACTTTTGCCGTTGGTCACATGTTTCTTTATCATTGTTCGTATGAATATTGTCTTTTTTAAAGGACTTTTCCTATCGACCGTGTATGGACTCGCTACTCTGAGGAATTAGCCGATTGTTCTGAGTGGTTCCTTCCTAGGTTCGTGCATAATATTACTTATAAGAACTGTATCCTGCGGTGAAATCTGAATTCTGAGACCTTACGTAAATACACTTAAACATAATCAATAAAAGTTAAAGCGAGAATAATTGTATTATCACGATTGATAATACACCCCGAGACAACGAAGCTGAGCATAACCTTAGCATAATTTCATGAAATTACACATTTTTATTTACATTTTTATTATTATTTTTATAAATTTTCAAGGCAATGTATACAACATTCTTTTTTTTTGCCTTCTCTGGCTACGCCTTCACTCCTCTCAAACAACAAATACAAAATGCCTCAGCTTGGATCATTTTTAACCTACCTCACGATTCCCACACTTCTACTGGACTTTCGACTGGCTCCCTGTCTACTATCGCGTTCTGTTTACATTTCTCTAAGTCTATAAATCCCTTCATGGGCTCGCCCCACCACCCCATCTTGCTTCTATCATCTCGTACTAGTATGTCCCATCCCGTCCTCTACGTTCCAAATCTCTACAGTCCCTCACTGTGCCTCCCTCATCACCCTGCGCCCAGTCTCTCACTCGTGCTCCCTTCTCACTGCCCTTCACTTGAAATAACTTCCACTGCAGCACACAGAGCAACCATCTTCAACCTGCTTCCATTCCTCCCTGACAATAACCCCCATCTAGCCCAGCATCATCATCATCATCCTGCTACTCCCTGCCCCTGCTTCCCAGCTATAACCATGCCTACCCCAACCCTTATAACTACCTCTACCCTTATCATGCTGTTAAGTGAGAAACACGATGAATGCGATTAATCCGGCAACTGAACATTGATAATCGATATCCCGGTCTCCAGAGCAACAAGAACACAAGCCAAACCAATGGCCCTGCTCAGGGCCAACAACACGCCAAATAAGCCCTGGGATGAGAATCCTCTGACCGGACATTTAGGGAATCTACCTGGCTAAGTGTGAGAATCTCGCGTATATAATGAACAAATTATATTGATGTCCTGACGCTCCAAGAAACCCACGTCTTGGATGCCCCATATGCCCATCACTACCACATCCATGCACCATCGCAGAGTTCTACGCCTTCCCACCAACGGAAAAAGCTACTTACACCGTCAGCATCAAGATAGGGGAGCTGCACATCACCAACGTGTACAAAGCCCCTCATTCAAAATGTCTAAAGCCAGCAATCCCAAGTGCACCAATCCCATCCCTATAGTATGGTGACTTTAACAGCCAACGTACTATGTGGGGCTATGCAGTAGATCCGGCCGACGGAAAATGCCTCACTAACTGGATGTCCGCTGAAGATATGCACCTGGTTTTCGATCTCAAGCAGCAATCAACTTTCCACTCTAGCAATGTGACTACAACCCGGACCTCACCATCTTTTTCAAATATCAAAGTGGGAGCACACTTCACGCATCGTGCAAAATATTCTGAAGCTTCCCCAAAAGTAAGCGGAAAGGCTACCATGATAAGTAAAACTTTCTAGAAAAATAAATAAATGTGATTGGAATACATTTTTATTTAAAGCTTTCGTGACTGCAGGGATTCATATTCTTGGTTCTTTCGGTAAAGTCACGTAGAAGGGAAACAATATTTTATTGTTTTATATTTGTATTATTTTATTGTTTCCCTTCTACGTGACTTTACCGAAAGAACCAAGAGAATGTGATTGGAACAGTTCACCTGATATAATAAGCAGTGCATGGTAGAATGCAGCATATTTCAGTAAATCCATGTGCATCAGTATATCATAAAATCACTGTGGTAATCACGTTTAGGAAGTTCGATATGCAAGTGCCAACCTGAGGAAGAGTCAAACATTTCCCCGACTATCCTGATACATACAACTCACGTGTGCTTATGCACTTGCAATGTAGGTGTCAGCCAACACCTTGGACACCCTTGCAAACAAGATATTCCATATCGAGGGGACCCTTTTTGTCAGTATCAAGATAATGAAAACATTATAATAGGTTTTACTGTTTCCAGCAAGAATACAGGAGGTTTTAAGATGTTCAAACACCTAATATACATCTATTATAGGGCATCAAGTCTGCATTAACCACACAATTCTTGTGGTAAAACATGCAAACAAACGTGCTTTGATAATAATGTATGCATTTTACCTAAAACTAATTGACCTACACCACTGTTACACCTGGGAACAATGCCACAATTCTAACAGCACAGAGTCAATGCAATTATCAAAGAATCAATAGCTCGGATCAGGCAATTATATCCATGGGACCCATTTCAAGAGATATCTAGGATGAATATTTAAAGTAAAATGATACTGGAAAGGCTTTCTCCTAATTAGCCATTAGAGGTTTATTTGTATTTACCATTGATGGGATGTGTAAAATGTGTTATGTGGAACGACGGCTATTGGAAGGAGGTGCACTGTCTATGTGTTTATTGTGTTACTTATGTTCTCCACAACAGCACTGATAATAATATTGTATTGCAAGTCAGGCTTCTTATTGTCCCAGAGAGCAAGAACTGCTGATAAGAACAAGTGAAATAAGGCAGTGCTGCTTACATGCAATTGTAGTCGTCGTCTGTGTTTGACCTAGAAAGAGAAGAGTATTCATGTTGAGCAAACAAAGGCATCGCAGTTCAATGCAATTACAAAGATTTATTTCAACATACAATCGCAATGTGATCCACAAAACATGAAACAAAAATAAATGATCATGCACGTCATAAGCATAATAGCATATAATAAAATACCTGTCTGAGCTATCACTAAAATCCACAGCAGAAGACGCGGAGAGAGCCAAATCCCTGCCATCTCCGCCACTCCCGCTGTTCTTTATGACTGAGCAGTGTGGTGAACAATGTTTAAAATAACTAACACGACCGGTTAGAAAACTTCCTCATTTCAAAAGTGAACTGACCATGGCCGGGGGCTTGAATGTAAAATCAGCAGCATAACAATTGCACACCTCTTTAGTTAGGGCACACAATGGAACGTTCACAATATTTACTTTATGAAGCGACAGTGTAGAGGGGGGAAAAACCACAACACATTTCACTAAAGCCAGGCTTAAAATCTCCATATCAGTGGGTGGCAAATGCTTGAGAGAAGAATACACATTTTACACAGCCAATAAAACTAGCCCCTCGACCGATGTTTCTGTGTCTGTGGATGACTAAGTCTCAAATAAAATATTCCCACTGCTGTAGTACACCATTCTGAGATTCAGATGCATTTAGCTTTCATAATTGAGATAAAAAGATTAGGAAAAGTTGCCATCAGTGAGGTCAGAATCAGAATCTTTATCCTGGAGAAATCCGTTGAGCTATGAAGCTCTTTTCACAGATGTTCAGTAGGGTGGGCCAGAAATTCACAACAACAAACACTACAAAAAACTACAGGACTGCAAAGTTTAAGATAAGTAAGTAAAAAAATATATAAGTTGAAATTACTTAAGTGCACCAATTCCCAAGCTTGGGCCAGGCGGAAATACAACAGCAAAGACAGTCCCAGACCACAGCAAGCTACGCTGCTTTACTGCTGATTCTCACAGTGGATTTCATTTGGCCATATGTCACAAGAGGCCAGCTGGGAAAAAATGGGGCAGAAGGCACAGAGACGGGCAACGCCACCAGTGAGGTGCACCCTGGAAGCTACGCTTGGCTGAGCATCACATGGATTCGGTGAACAGTAGAACGACTTCTGATGATGTTGGCCAACTTCAGCAGCAAGCCGTGATGTCACACAGTGCCATAGGAAGAGAGATTTATCATTACTGTGCCGGATTTCTGTTAACGATGGAAAACTCAACTAGTTGTGCCATTTATTTATTGTTTTTGTCATTTTAAACTTTGCTTGGCAGTAGGGTTTTCAATAGCTTGGCAGTAGCTGTACAGTATATAGGATTTGGTCCTTATATATAATGAATGCACAGTGTTATGTGGTGACATTATCATGAATCACGCTATATAAAGTATTGCTATTAAGGGCCGGTCTCTTTGTGTGGACGGACGTGCGAATGCAGATTCTGCAGCTCGTGTATATCATCACGGGTCCTGTGAATGGCAAAGCTCCCTTACTTCCACCAAGGCACAACCAACATCACAGGTATACATTGGAGACGAGTTGCAACTGGTTATTGTTCAGTAATACTTTTCCGATAGCTAATTTTCATTGGACATAAAAGCAAATCTGAGATGGCTATTATTTTATCCATTTATATTTATCTGGCCAGGTGGCTCAGCGGCTAGTGAGTGGCTCGCAATTGGAAGACTGCGAGTTAAAATCTTCATTTGGGGTTGATTCAGCCAAGCATACCACGGCGGTCTGCAAATGAGTATCAATTTTCACGGGATCAGCTGGAATTTTCCTATGAATACACTCGTCCCCACCATATGAATGTAGAACTTCCACCATTGGTTTAAGGCTATAAACAGCAGATGAGAACCACATCACTGCTCGTCTGAGTAGTAAATCACTATGACAGTATAATATTTATCTGCAATTCGACTGGCGGAAAATCTCAATTTTTAAGTAAATTTGAACAACAGCAAAATCACATGTCCTTTTCCGCGTGGTGGTATTTTCTCCACGCAGCACTCAAGGGAGCTTTTCTATTTTGTTAATGGATGCAATTACATGTTAATATATCTTCATGTAATCCTCGGTTTGTGCGAACATGTATAATTCCATTAATTTCCTGTGCATCACATGTATTTGCTACAGAGCTTAGCCATTTTTGTATTTAGTTATGAGAACTTAATAAATAAGGCTGCACTGTTGAAGATATCTTTCAGAAGAACACTACTTGAAAACATAACAATAATTGTGCGTGGCACAGTTTTTGAGGGTGAACCAGGATCCAAATAATGAAATATATAAAGTTGGACAAGAGTGGGTTGCAATTCCATTGGACAACAAAACTAAATTATGAAAAAACATAGCAATGTGATGTATGGATCAGTAAAATGGACATTGACAAGTACAATATAATTAAATATGAAAAGTGTTTAACGAAGCGTGGAGAAGTGCATACATTGAGGTACATAAAAAGGGGAATAGGGACCAGAAAACAGGTAAGTTTGAAACATTTTGCTGAAAAAAAAATACCTGCAAATTACTCAATCTGGATAACAGAGCAATAGCACCCCTATTGCGAAAACTTGGCATCACGCCACTGGTCTCTGCCTTGAATGAGGCTTTCCTAGCTAAACAAGTGCAAATAATAAAAACAAATAATACAATCACGTTCACTTCCCTCTAGCGAATTATGGTCGGTGGTTATGTGGCAGCCTCAGGCGTGAGCATGCCTGAGGCTGTGGAGATGGAGATACCATCAGCAAGTCACTGCAACCTGCTCTTCATAAATCTTTGCAGCCTACTCTTGTTTAAATAGGGGCGCCGTGGTAGCGAGAAGGTATTTCCCTCGCCTGGTATGCAGGAAGTTCGTGGATTGAATCTCGACCCTGATGCCTGATGTATATTTGGAGTTTCCTTATTCTCCCCGTGGTCACGTAGATTTTTCTCCAGGCCTTCCGTTTTTTCCCTCTGCATTCATATCTCCGATTAGCACGGTTGGCTACGTACGGTGCGAAGGAAGTTCAAAATAAATACATGCACATTTAGAAACACGCGTGTAGATTATTCGGCTGCAATATATTTCCACATGGTGGTAAGCTATCATTAGTGGCCAGGTCGCTTCTGAAAAAGAGCTAAATGCTCAGTTGGGCTTTACCTGGTAAACAAATTAGTTTAGTTTCAGACTGGAGTGAATCAGTGACTGCTTGATTATTAGTGAACACGACCAATTTACGTTTAATTCTGTCATCGACTGCATTTATGGCCATTTTGTTAAAATTACAAATTTGATATAACATGCAGTTCTTCTCAGCTGGTGGTCTAGATAAGGTAATGTACATCTATGTCTCGTTAAATGAATTAGTCTTCGGGTCTCCACACGTTTATGTTTCGATGGGTGTCTCATCATTTACAGATTTGAATTACGGATGAGAACTTGTGAGAAGAGACTGCATACAAACTGGTATTTGTTGTAATACGTGCGTTTGTCAAAAGTGTGCATGACTGTAAATATAAACCAACATATAGCAAAAAGCTGATTAAATTAGACTCAATTTAATTAAAGTAAAAACACTGGGAATTACGGCTAGTAGCAAGTCATAATTATAATCAAAGATGAATACGCTTCCACATTTAATGCAAAGGAAGAATACTGTAATATGTTAATAGAACTGAGTTCTGTATGAATTGTGTTTTCACAAGAACACATTGGAAACATAAAGCACTCTATTTGTCTATCACATCACGATTAACGGTAATCGCAGTAAGCAAAATATTAAATAGTAGTGCAGGAGACCCTTGAATATCGCGAGGGTTACGTTCTTGGAAAGAGACGCGAAAGCCAAAACCGCGAATATTGAATACTTAAGCCTCATCTAAATAATGGGGTTAGGTACACAGCAACCAAAATTAAACAGATCACAATTGAAATAAGTACTGTATGCCAAATAAAGAAAAACTTAATAATTATAATAAAACACATTTTACAAAAAAACACTCCTAGACAATACGTTGTAGTCTAAATACTGAAAAAATACTGGACATAGCAATGATGATAATCCAAAGCGGGTGTGTGTGTTTGTCCACGAGATGCTTGCAAAGAGCGGAGGTGTAGCGGTGAGCACGCCACAATACCCCCGATCGATTCCTGCTAACGGCCACCACCAGTGACGATTATCTGAACCGGTCATGTGCCTCCCCTAGATCGACTCAGCCTTAAATCAGTACCTGGTGCGATGTGAAAATCTCGCCACTCGGGTGACAAAGGCGGCCGGGTGTGGTGCTGGCCACCCCACCCCCTCGTGTGCCGTGCCAGCCTTCATAGGTGCTCGCTAACATAACTAGCCCCAAAAGTCTGGTAATAGACTATAAAAAGGGTCGTTGTCTTGGATTGTCCGCAATATGCTTGCACGGTAAAGGTTGATGTGCGACTGACTGCCTCGCGTCCCTCGTCCGCCCCGCACCATGGTACCAGCCACACAGCACCATCACTCGAGAAGCTTCTCGAGTTAGACTTCCGTGTATGCCCGCGGAAGGCCACAACGAGGTCGAAACTGAGGGCGATAAGCCCGCAAAAGCCAATTTCTTATAAAATAGGCCATTGTGTGCTGACGTTATGGTGCTAAATTTGCCAAATTAAGACATTTCGTTCAAATAACTGAAGTCAGAAAAGTATAACAACAATGCCCCCTACTCTAAGGATATCGCAGAATGTGTGCGAAACATTGCCTTGCACAATAAGAATGGTGGAAATACCAAATGTAATAAATTGTTATGATGATAACGCTTTACATTTTCTAAAATGAAAATATAACTTTGTTCGAGACCTCCAAAGCCACTTTAGCACGTACATTCCCAAGGCATTCCAGCTATATCTGTGATATTCTTCTCCATAGCATGGTAACAACATTTGCCATTCAAGCTGACAGCTCAAGCATTAACATAGTCTTTGCCTTTTCTGATAAGGTATTCTGTACACGATAGGAATCCAGGGTGTCTCTTTTTGCATCCTGGTTAAAATGACGTTTCTAAAATTTTATGCGCAGCACACGTGAAATACGAAATACCTCTTATAAATCAACTTTTGTTGAGTTTAAAAGGAAGACAGCCGACGAGTTTATGCAAATACATTGGAATTTTCTGAAGAAGTGCATAGTGGTCCTCTTGCATTAGGTCACCATCAATACATTTGAGCAAATGTGGCCGACTGACAGTAGCAGTGACGCGGTGATGGACAACTGTGGACCTGTTTTGTTCTGGTTAAGATTAATTTGCTTAGACATTGTCTTCTATACTTATGTATGGTAATGTGTTCAGGAGCTACATGCCAATGTTCAAATCTGTGATCCACGACAATTTGCTAATCCTCCATTGAAGGAGCACAGACTACAGCGGTTTACTATATAGTCCATAGTTTGGGTAGCACGGCCACAATCACACTACTGTGGCTTGTGTTTAGTTTTCAATTTAGCAAGGGGATATGCGCATCAGGTCCGTTGATTTTCTGATGAGGTTGATGGTTGCATCAATGTCTGAGGAATATTAAAGCCACGAGGTGCAATGATGTTTTGGTCTCAAATTAGGCGGTGTTTACTCTTGATGTCTGCATTGTTCCACTGATGGCCAGCATTCTGCCAGATCTGGATGAGATTCTGAAATGGTGCAGCGCGCTTTCCCAAGGGAGATCGAACTTTATTTGGTGGCGAGGTACATTGTTGAGCTCCTGGTTGATGGATAG